AAGAGGATCCTCGGCGCCCTCTGGTGGGCAAGCCTGAGGATCGCAACACAATGAGAGGATGTACAGACAATTTTTTCCAAAAATGGCAGCGTTTTCTTATGTAGGAGCTCCAAATTTTTCAAATTTGGAGCTCCTACCTAACTAAACATATGTGCCCGTTGCTGCATTTGGCTGATGTTTTTTTTTCTATTATTATTATCTATTTTATTTCTCTGCTGAACATGTCGGGCTGAGACAGGGTGGGAATGGGGTGTTTTGTTCTCTTCTTTTATTGTTCTTATTTTGTTTTTATTGTCTGTATATGTAGTAGGTGTGACTACTTCAACATTTGTACCTATGTGTATATATTAGAAGTTATACCTGCATAAGTATGTTTATCTAAAAAAAAAAAAAAGGAATTGTATTTCTTATTGTGATTATCTTACCATTTGCTTCAATAAAAACAATTTGAAAAAAAAAGAGTTTCTTAAAATATGTGGATTAAACATGGATTTTGTTTTTGTTAAAGAACTGAACTCAATTAAATTCAGAGATTTATATTTGTAAATGTATACATTCTCTCTCTCTCTCTCTCTCTCTTTCGCGCGCACGCACGCACACACTAAATAAGTATGCTTTCACCGGAAGTGCTTTTATTTTGTAGTATTTGAGTGCGTTCTTCAGAGAGTAGACCGGAGCCGACGAGTCAGCTGGAGAAAAGAGCGGGAGACTTAACGACAAGAGTACACTAAGTTGTGAATGTAAGTATCCAAGAAGTTGCTTGAATGTTTGTTCCTTGGGGTTAAACGTGTTGTTAAAACCGACAAGGTAAGTTACGTTAGCCGTTTTGCGTGGCTAACCGTTAGACGGTTAGCAAGCTAACATGAAAAGTCACCCTGCCAGTTAGCTGTAAAGGCTACGTGGCTAGGCAGGTAGCTGTAAAACCTGGTGATGCCTAAGTTGCAGTGGTGGATAGTGAGGTATCACGACAGAAGCTAACTAAAGCACCATGTGCTGTGCATTTAGCTAGAAATTTAACTTCGGAAAAAAAGTCCCGTTTTGTTTTTTGAACTTTTTGGAAAGCTAGAGATTGAAGTTATTGTCTGAAAGTTAATTTAGCTGACTTTTAAAAAAAATATTTTTTGTTGATTGGTAGGAAACAAATTTATGAATGATACTAGCCCAACTTTATGTAACATTGAAGTAGTGGTTAGCGCGAACGACCCATGTATGGAGGCCTTAGCCCTCAACGTGGCTGAAGCAGGTTTTACTCCAACCTGTCGTGTCACTAGTGCTGTAAAAACCTAAAGAAAATTTTAATATAATATGAAATGTTACAGAATAGCCTAAAAGGTATCTTTCACATCTACTTTTTTAATGAAAGTTTTTGTATTTTGCTGTACTCCTTTAGAGGAATATGACTGCAGGTTTTGAAGGAGGTTAAACCTCATGTCAGGTGTCCTGTAAAATAATATTGTTTTGTATGTTTGGGTTTTCAGGTTGCTGCACCTGCAACAAATATGACTTGGCAGTGTAAGTTGTGTTCAGCTTCTTTTACCACTCGGACATATTTATTAAAACACTGCAGACTGCAGCACAGCCACTTTTCAAAAATTTGCCCACTCCCATGTCTCCATGATGATTGCATGTGCACATTTCAGACACTTAGTGCACTGAGTACTCATCTGTCAAGATATCATACGCAAGAACGTAAGAGCAGTGCAAAGGAGATTCA